GAGGCGTGTGCCCTGCTAGAAGGCCCCAGACCTCCCACGCTTTCCTGCGTGAAGGGGAAGTTGGGGTTTGAAGGTTCTTGTCGGATGCGGAGCGTTCCGCCCACAGGGACGAGATGGAGGCAGCCTGGCCTCGGCGCCAGGTTTTTCCAGCTGATGGGCAGGGAGGTGGGTTTTCTGCGGCAGCACAGAGCGGCTGAAGAAACAGGCGACTGTTGCGGGGGCGTCTCCGTCGGAGGTGTGACGTTTCAGTGCAGCAACCCTACGGTGCAAAACAGAAACCCCAAGCCATCGACTCGACGGCCGAGGGCCGGGGAGGAGGGAGCAGCCGTCTCCTGTGCGGCTTAACCACGCGAGGCTGCGGCTGGCAGGTCACGCGGTGAGAGGGCGCCCACCGAGCACGCTCGTGGCAGCAGAGAGCGCGGAAGCTGGTGTGGACGCCAGGGAAATAGTGCTGCCTGATGAAGCAATGCGTGGATAAGCTGCACGGAGGTGGGATCGTTTGAACAGCGTTTCTAAATTAGTATCTTCATCTTGCCTTATTTTACAGCAACTTTTGAAGACTGAAGAGAACAGCTGGTCCCTGGCAGAGCTGATCCACGCGGTCGTTCTCCTGACACACTACCACTCCCTTGCTTCCTTCACGTTTGGCTGTGGGATCAGTCCCGAGATCGACTGCGAAGGGGGTCACACCTTCAGGCCCCCTTCCGTCAGCAACTATTGCATATGCGATATCACAAATGGGTACCACGGGGTGGATGACATTCATGCCAGCCCAGCTGGAAGTATTCCAGTGAGTATCTCACTGAGCGGTCTTTTCCAGCAGTGGTAGCGTCTTTGTAAACTCAATACACGGAGGGTGCCCGTCCCTTTTCCTTCATGAGGGCGGGGTTGATTGGCCTAAGGCAGATGAGGGTGAACCAGCTGAAAAGGTACATTGAGGGGAAGCTGAAGTGGCACAGGAACGGGGTTTTCCCATGAGTGCAGCGGAAAGTTGTGTCTTCCTTGGATTCCAGCGTGTGACTTTGTTGCCTTGAGTTGTGTGTGATGCGTCGCACAACAGATCGTTCCCAATTTTCTGCCTCTGCTTCTGAAGCAGGATTGCCTGCCTGCAGCGCTTCGGCTCACTGAGCCGTGCTTGCTTCCCCGCGGTGAAGAGCATGATGTGAGCCGAGCGCTGGCTTGAGACCGGCGATACCGGGCTACGTTCAGTGCAGACCTCCGGCCTGTGAGGCTTCGCTGCGGTGGGGTGGGTGGCATTTGCATTTCCCTGGCTCTCCGAAGGAGCAGACTGGCTGCGAAAGGCGGCAAGGAAAGGGGCGGAACGGTATGAATTGAAGATAAATTTATTTCGCTTTGTGCTGCTGGATTTTTACACAAGACCAGATAGGGAATTGATGGTGTGTGGTGGTGTTAGAAGAGCTCTTGTGAAACAAGGTTATCTTGCACTGGTTTTGCTTCATTAGATCTGCGTTTACACTCACTCTTCCTTTTTCCTTCAATATGTTTCTTCTCTGTGAGCAGAGGAGGGGAAAAATACAGTTGGGTAGTAAATTGCGGTTACTTCCTCTATCAGAATTTCTGTTACAGCTCCTTCCTTTTCAGTTGTTAAACATTTAGGTTAAGTAAGGGAAATCAATTTTAGTGTCAGAACTACTTGTTCCAAAAAGCTGTGATGCTTAAAATACGCTCAAAATACCAAGGATCTGACTGAGGAAAGATGATGACTGACTATGAGCTGTTGGGTCAGCACAGATTTCTTCCCAGAACTGTTTTCCTTGAAAAAACAGCATTTAAAGATGTAAACGAGGGCCGGCGCTTGCGTTTCATTTTTCTGGCTTGACGATTTCCGCCGTCGTCGTCGGTTCTTGTTACGGGGGAATGAACTGTTTTTTCTCTCCTTTGCAAGTCCGCAGAGTCCGTCTGCGAAGTTGAGGCTCTAATGGAGAAAATGAAGCAGCTACAGGAGTGCAGGGACGAAGAGGAAGCCAGCCAGGAGGAGATGGCCACGCGCTTCGAAAGGGAGAAGAGAGAGAGCATGTTCGTGTGTTCTTCAGGTAGAACAGATGTCTTGTTACTTGTATTTGTTTAGACTTCTCCAAATCCTTTAAGAAATACTGCTGCAGAAGGAGGAGAAAAAAAAGTGTTATTAGATGTCTCAAAACCATTGCCGTTTCCTCCAAGGGCTCGAGATCAGGGGTGCCTTGTTTAGGAACAGTTAAAAGCAAAGTAGGGCCTAGATTTGTGGTTTCTCTTGAACACACCCAGCAGTCCCCGAAGTAGGAATTTCCCACAGAAACAGCATCTCTCTCTCTTGAGGGCTGCAGGAGTTTCACAAGAGATGTGGGCGTCTCGCAAGGCATGGTAGAACGTCGTCTTTAACGGGTGGAGGAAGCGTGCGTTTCCAGATGAGTGCGAGGTTAACACGTCACCTGTGACAGGCTTAGGGCTGTGGGCTCTTCAACGGTCTCCTCTAAAATAAACCTGGCATGGAAGTCTCAGAGGTCTCTTTTGTTTTAAGAAGCTCTCCTTTCCAAAGCAGATTTTCACAGACCCCCTGAGTTTAGGAGCAAAGTGTCCCCTAGATGTAGGAGATGAGAGTGAAGACAGGAGCAGAAAAGGAGGGAGGAAGAGAGGTTTGTCCAGAAGAAGGAATCTGAGTGCTTTGCGTGGAGTTGCCTCTGAAAACCGTCGCTGCGGTAGGCTGAGCTGGAGGGAAGCGTTCTAACACGGGCAGTCCAGCAAAACTGCGTGTTTATTTAAAAAGCAGCACGTTCTTCCGCACGAGTCCCACGAGCGCACTTCCACTTTGTTCTTATCGAGATCATGTGAAGTCTTGGTAAGACTGGTGTAAAATCTTAAGGGCCTGTAGTGACAGGACAAGGGGTAAGGGGTTTAAATTGAAAGTGGGGAGGTTTAGATTAGATATCAGGAAGAAATTCTTCCCAGAGAGGGTGGTGAGGCACTGGCACAGGTTGCCCAGAGAAGCTGTGGATGCCCCATCCCTGGAAGTGTTCAAGGCCAGGCTGGATGAGGCTTTGAGCAACCTGGTCTAGTGGAAGGTGTCCCTGCCCATGGCAGGGGGGTTGGAACTGGACGGTCTGTAAGGTCCCTTCCAACCTGAACCGTTCTGTGATTCTGTGATTCTATCAAATTGTGTTTGAAATTAACAGAAGACGAAGAGTCGGCACCGACGAGAGATGTGTCTCGCCACTTTGAGGACACCAGCTACGGTTACAAAGACTTCTCCAGGCACGGGATGCATGTGCCCACCTTTCGCGTTCAGGTAACAGGGCTGGGGTACCGTGAGGCTTCGTGCGATCTCTCCGCTGTGCCAAATCCCAAACCAAAAGCTTAAAGCGGTGAAGGGAACAACCCCCGCCCCGCACTGGCTCCTCTGCCCCATGATAAATTACCATAAAGCACTGGGTCTTCTTCACAAGCTCATTTCTGAAATGCTCCATTCTGCCTTTTTACTTATTCTAAGGACTATTCCTGGGAAGACCATGGCTATTCCTTGGTTAATCGTCTTTACCCGGATGTGGGACAACTACTTGATGAAAAGTTTCATATTGCTTATAACCTGACTTACAACACGATGGCCATGCACAAAGATGTGGATACCTCAATGCTAAGACGAGCTATTTGGAATTATATTCATTGTATGTTCGGAATAAGGTCAGTTCTGCCACTTCTGTTCTACAGACGTCAGATGTGTTGGCGGTGCCTTTTTTCATAGGATCCCAGAACGGTTTGGGTTGGACCTTAAAGACCATCCAGTTCCAACCCCCCTGCCATGGGCAGGGACACCTTCCACTAGACCAGGTTGCTCAAAGCCTCATCCAGCCTGGCCTTGAACACTCCCAGGGATGGGGCATCCACAGCTCCTCCGGGCCACCTGTTCCAGTGCCTCACCACCCTCTCCGGGAAGAACTTCTTCCTGATATCCAATCTAAACCTCCCCACTTTCCCCTTGTCCTGTCACTACAGGCCCTTGTAAAAAGTCCCCCCCAGCTCCCTTGTAGCCCCTTCAGGTACTGGAAGGTGCTATAAGGTCTCCCCGGAGCCTTCTCTTCTCCAGGCTGAACAAGCCCAACTCTCTCAGCCTGTCCCCATAGCAGAGGGGCTCCAGCCCTCTAAGCATCTTTGTGGCCCTTTTTTTTCTCCTTTCTTTATCAGATCGAAGCTACTGATTAAGGCCATGTGTGTGGATTTGCAAACATAGCTTTATTTACGGGGAAGGGCCGGTGCTGGTACAAAACACACAATAATTTATTTTCCCCTAAGAACTTAAGAGCATTGCAAGTGAAACATGCAGGTTCTTGAAAATGAAAATGTTTTTCTTTCCCTTTGAAACAGATACGATGATTATGACTATGGTGAAATTAATCAGTTGTTGGACCGCAGCTTTAAAGTTTATATCAAGACTGTGGTTTGCACTCCCGAAAAGACCACAAAAAGAATGTACGATGGCTTCTGGAGGCAGTTTGAACACTCTGAGAAGGTACAGTTCGCACATGTTCCGAGGGAAGCGGGTGGTAGATCTGTTTGCCGCACGCACAGCCGCAGCCACCCAGCTCAGCCTTTAAGCTTTAGCTGGTGTCACCGGGATTCTGCTCGCGCTCTGTGAATTCCTTCGGAGGTGTCGCACTTCCCAGGCTGAAATCGCTCTGCTTTC